CTGAATTATCAGAATTATTAACTGACTTATTATTAAATACTGATAAAATCATCATAATGGGTGATTTCAATATTTATGTGGATGTTGAGAGTGATAGTTTAAGCATAGCCTTTAATAATTTAATAGACTCATTTGGTTTTACCCAAAACATCCGCACATCTACTCATTCTTATCATCACACTCTTGATTTAGTTCTGACCTATGGTGTAGAGATTAAGGACTTGGTAATAGTTCCTCAAAATCCTATTCTGTCTGACCATTTTTTAATAACCTTTGAGTTTACATTAAATGACTACACAGTCACTGAGAGTAAATTTCATCTCAGCAGGTGCTTATCAGAAAATGCTGTAACCAAATTTAAACAATCTCTTCCATCAATGTTTTCCTCTGTCTTGCAGAGTAATACATCAGAGAACAGTGACTTAGATCATCTAGTTGATCATCTTACAACTTCAATGCAAACTTCACTTGATAAAATTGCTCCAATGAAAAAGAAAGTAATCAATCAGAGGAAACTGGCTCCTTGGTTCAATTCTGAGTTACGTACTTTAAAGCAGGCATCTAGAAACCAGGAGAGAAAATGGTGCTCTACTAATGTTGAAGAATTTTATTTAACTTGGAAAGATAGTCTGCTAACATATAAAAAAGCTCTCCGTAAAGCTAGAACTTTATATTACTCATTTTTAATAGAGGAGAATAAAAATAACCCTAGGTTTCTGTTTAGTACTATTGCTAGACTAATTAAAAGTTCCATTTCTGTTGAACCATGTATCCCTACAACTATAAGTAGTGATGACTTCATGAGATTCTTTATAAATAAAATTATTTCAATTAGAGAGAAAATTCAAACCATCCTTCATTTTTCTATCTCTTATCCCAACAAAGTCCATGCTCAATAATCCAGGTATACAATCCAACATTTTTCAGTCAGGTCATCTGGACAGTTTCTTTTTTTGTGCTGAAATGTTTCGCCTTTGATCCGGAAGGCTTCATCAGTCAAGGACACACACATACCTGGATTATTGAGCATGGACTTTGTTGTTTTAAACCAGTTTGACACGACTGTCAACAAGGAAGAGGGCCGGCAATGAAGAAGGGGGCGTGCCAAAGACACCATCTTAGCACCAACATAACTGGTTTGTTCCATATCCACCAACATAACTGGTTTGTATCTCTAGGCCCCTGTCAAATGAGGCAACTTTAAAAATTTCACTAGAGCTTGATTTATGTTTGGACAGTTTTTGTCCTTTTGAGCTCTGAATTGTCAAAAATAATAACCTCATCCAAACCATCCACATGCCTGCTAGATCCCATCTCAACCAGACTGTTTAAAGAGGTATTTCCCCAAATTAATGTCCACATTTTGGATCTACTCAATTTGTCTTTAATGGATGGTTATGTACCACAGTACTTTATGGTTGCTGTAATTAAACCTTTTCTTAAGAAGTCTGCTTTTGATTCAGAAATTCTGGCCAACTATAGACCTATATCTAATCTAACTTTCATCTAAAAAATTCTAGAGAAAATAGTTGCAGGTCAGTTGCGTGAACATCTACAAATAAATAATCTGTTTGAAGAGTTTCAGTCAGGGTTTAGAGCTCATCATAGCACAGAAACAGCACTAGTAAAAGTCACTAATGATATTCTCATGGCCTCAGACAATGGACTTGTGTCTATACTGGTCCTGTTAGACCTCAGTGCTGCATTTGATACAGTTGATCACTATATTTTACTACAGAGGGTTGAATATGGTATTGGGATTACAGGAACGGCTCTAAAGTGGTTTAAATCACATCTATCTGATAGATTCCAGTTTGTAAATGTAAATAATAAATCTTCTTCATACACCAAAGTTAGTCATGGAGTTCCTCAGGGCTCAGTGCTTGGGCCAATACTCTTTACTTTATATATGCTTCCATTAGGTAAAGTTATTAAACAGCATGGAATAAATTTCCATTGTTATGCTGATGACACACATTTATATTTGTCCATTAAACCCAATGAATCCAATCAGCTACTCAGACTACAAGCATGTCTTAAAGACATAAAAACCTGGATGACCCTTAATTTTCTCCTGTTGAACAGACAAGACTGAGGTTTTAGTTTTTGGACCTGAGCACCTTAGGAATGAATGTTTCAGTCTTTCTCCCTCCTTAGATGGCATTAATCTGTCCTCCAGCTCTAATGTTAAAAATCTTGGTGTTATTTTTGATCAGGACATGTCTTTTATCCCCCACATTAAAAACGTTACTAGAACTGCTTCTTCCACCTGCATAATATCACTAAAATTAGAAACATCTGATCTAAAGATGATGCAGAAAAACTGGTCCATGCATTTGTCACATCTAGACTGGACTATTGCAATGGTTTATTATCTGGATGTCCAAATACTTCTTTAAAACATCTTCAGTTGATCCAAAATGCTGCTGCCAGAGTCTTAACTGGAGTTACTGGGAGAGATCATATTTCTCCAGTTTTAGTTTCTCTCGATTGGCTCCCTGTCAAGTCCAGAATAGAATTCAAAATCTTACTTCTAACCTACAAAGCTCTCAACAACCTGGCTCCATCTTACATTACAGATCTTATTGTTCCATATTTTCCTAACAGAGCACTTCGCTCTCAGGCTGCAGGTTTACTTGTGGTTCCTAGAGTTTACAAAAACAGAATGGGAGGAAGATCTTTCAGTTATCAGGCTCCTCTCTTGTGGAACCAACTTCCAATCTCTGTCTGTGATGCTGACACATTATCCAGTTTTAAAACTAGGCTTAAGACTTTCCTTTTTGCTAAATCCTATAGTTAGGGTTGGTTTGGGTTTCCTGAGCTGTCCCTTAGTTATGCTGCTATAGGTTTAGACTGCTGGAGGACAAACTGACCACAATTTTCACTCTACTACTGTCTTTACTTACTCTGATCAACCTGTTTTGTATTTGTAATTATTTTTTCTATCCTTAACATGTTTTTTTTATCTTTCAGATATACCTGGACCTACCATTCTATGTTTGTCTGTCTCTCCTTCCTGTCCTCTCAACCAGCCGGTCAAAGCAGATGGCCGCTGTCCTGAGCCTGGTTCTGCTGGAGGTTTCTTCCTTTTAAAAGGGAGTTTTTCCTTTCCACTGTTGCCACTGTGCTTGCTCAAGATGGGAGACTGCAACGAAGCCAAGATTCATCTTGTCTGCTGGATTCCTTAGATAGAGAACTTTACTAATTGGCTTTTATGTGAATGTTTCTGTAAAGTGCCCTGACACAACTTTGTTGTGATTTGGCACTATATAAATAAACTGAATTGAATTGAATATATGGATGCAGTAAAAGAGGACATGGAGATAGTTGGAGTGAAGATAGAGTGAGATGGAGGAGGATGACTCACTGTGGAGACCCCTTAAAAGGGAAAAGCCAAAAGAACAAGAGCTTAAATTTGGTCAAGTAGTGGTTGAGAGTCATTAAAATATGGGTGTGAAAGGTGAAGCACCCACACCTGCCTTCACCCTCATTTGCTCTACTCTAGACCCTTAATCCTCACCATCTGCTACCCTGGGAGCCCTAGCTAGCAGCTCTCTGCCCCACACAGAGGGCTGTGGTAGCTTGGTGGTCTGTGGTTGAGTCAGGAAGGACATCTGACGTAAAGACAATCGACAAGTCTCTGTACGAGTTAGTTCACTGTGACGACCCCTTAAGAAGGGAGCAGCAGAATGAAGAAAAATAAAATAAAAGTAGTTGAGAGTCATTTCCGAAACATTCTCTGAAATATAATAGTTTATGAACGTAGCATTCCTTGAAATTATATTTTGACTGACTATTTCAGAGTATTTCAGCTACAAACTTTAACTTAACTTGTATTTTTTATACTGTATATATGAATGTTTCTGTTCAGTGCCTTGAGATGACTTCTGTTGTGACTTGGCATTATATAAATAAACTGAATTGAATTGAACTTTAAAGCTGCATTTTTAAATTTATTTTTAAGATAAGAAGTATCTATGTGACAAAAGTTTAGGGTAAAGCACTTCAAAGTCTTTTAGCATCTGACTGCAAGATGGTGAGTGACCCATTTGACCCATCAGCCTTTTCAAACATTAACAATGGCCACAGTAGGGAAGAGTTCATCAAATGGACTGCCCCAAGAGTCCCTCCCATGACCTGACAAAAAAAGGGCACAAAGTCTTCTTGAGTTCCTTCGGGCCATATCAAAGAGTCCCCCTTTGGCCCCATATCAAATGGTGAGCACAGCATTTGGTCTATAGCATCTTTAGTCTGTTCCAAGGCACCATAAACGGTGGGCAGAGGGCAGGACCTCTAGACAATGGACATTCTGTTCACCCAGACAGATACACACATGTAGAGAGTGACAATTCAGCCATGGCTCATTTAACGCTGCCATTCTGTCCAGGCTGTGACCCTAAACTAAGGGTTCCTAACAGGCAATTTCACCAGCCTGAGTTCTGACTAAAAGGTGCAAACAAATGGTGAATGCACACAAACACACACACACACACACACACACACACACTGATAGCACTTCAGTGTTTTGTTCTCATTTTCTCTCGCAGTTTCTTTTTACAGTCTGGTCTAACAGTAAACACACACCCTCACACTCACTGCAAATAATGTGAGTTTCCTTCCCCCTCAGCTGCTCACCAATCACCCACACACTTTGCAACAAAAAAAAAAACACCTCGATGCACATCACTATTCACCATGATTCATTTCATAGAGTGGACACAAAAAGTCACCCTGCAGTAGAAACAAAGTCAAACACAATGCAACTTTCCACACACGTGCACAAACACAAGAGTCGTGCCCCCTCTTCGGACTGCCAGCAGGCTGGTATATATAGGAAATGTTAGTCAGAAGGGGGAGGGTAATGTTGTGAGGACATTGAATGTGCATTTGTGATGGGGGGGGTCTTTGTGAGCGAGAGAGGTAGGAGGCGAAGGGGAGAGGGAGGGGGGACATAGTGTTCTGATTCTTATAGACCAACAGCTGCTGTCTTTAGTGCAGAGACAGAGAGGAAGAGGGAGGGCTGTGTGGCGTGAGGCAGTACGTGTGCTCAGTTTGCTCAGCGTTTAGGTGAACCCACAAGCCTCTGCCTCACAAGGATACAGGATCACAGAGAGGAGCCACACTGCCTTGTTCCCAGCATCTTCTCTCCCCTCTGTCCTCTTGTTTCATTTGGCTGCCGGGGTCTTCTGCGTTTTGTTTCTGCCCCTTTTCTTTTGTTCCCCACATCTCTCTCTGTTTCACCTCAACCCAGAACGGAGGAAAGGAAGGCAAAGCAGAGTCAGAGGCATCTTCCTCCCTGCACGCCCAGCCGGTAAGCTGACTTCTGTGCTCTTCGTTTTACCTGTTAGCATCCTCACATCCATGCAGCACTGACTGCAGAAATGAGCCGGGTAGTCCCACCCTGCACCAACTGTGAAGGAGAGGAGACGGCAGTGGAGGCTGAGGATGTGGGTCAGGATCAGGATGGAGGCTGGCAGGTGGTTTAGTTCTAGCAGGGCAGTGATGGTGTGGAAGAGGTAGGCCAGGATCCTGTGGGTGGGCAGGGAGGCTGTGAATTAGATTTAAACCCTGTGGTCAGCTAGGTCTTGTCTTCTTCCACTGCATTGCTCTGCCGGAGCAGCGTGGCCACAGCCACAAACACACACATGTCCTCACCTCAGCAAGGATCGGCAGTTAAAACCAATTTGGACAGCAGAGTTGGCAGATGTTCATAATGTGCGTATATTCTCAGCAGATGTGTGTGACCCAGAACCACCAGTTCTGTTGGGTCATACACACTTTATCAGGAACCCTAGCAAAGATGTGCATGGTGTGAGATTGTGTGAGAGAAAGCTAGAAAAAAAAAAAAAACAATTAACCCCAGATTCCCCAACGCTGATCAGAAGGAGTGTGTGGGAAAAATGGAAGGAGGGGTGGTGGTGGTGGGGTGGGTGAGTGGTAATATGAATGAAGGGCTCAGACCCTTCAGGAGCATTTTGTTCTCCTGAATGTGGTGGAGGAGAGAGGAGCCAAAAGTCTGAAGAGACCGTGTGTGCCTCCATGTGACTCTGCAGGTCTTTGTGTGTTTGAGGGGGCAGAGATAAAGAAAGATGCTGAGGATGGAGAGAGAGAAGAATAGGAAGGCAGGAAGAGAAAGCAGTGATGAGTATGCGTATGTGGTTGGGGAGGGAGAGATGAGAGGTGTGTGACTGGAGGTTCTGATCTCCATCTGTCCCTTCTGTAATCTACTGACTGTGGTTATAATCCCTGTTAGTGGATTAGCAGAAGATGCTCTGTCACTCATACACATTATGTTGCTATAATGGTGAAAACAACCAGATGTCTGAGAAATACAAAGGTGTGTATTTGTGTTTACGTCTACAGAGCAGTGTTAATCAAAATGTGCTCGTGCGTGTGTCTATAGGCTTTTTTCACTCTGAACACCGAGCAGCGGCTGCTGTGGTATTTACTCCTCTGTTGCTAGGACACTCCCTTTGAACATTTCAACGGAGTCTTTTCATTGGCTGGCCTCGATGATGCAAGACTCCCTCACCCCAAATCTTTTCCAAGCGCCCATAGAAACATGCCCGTCTACATTTCCTCCTCGCTCCTCCGCTGTCACTCTTTGTCTCACGCTTCCCCTCCTCCTCTCTGCTCAGTCTTGTGTCTTTCTGTGGAAATCTCCTCGTCCGTTCTCTGTGCTCCTCGTCTCACCTCACGGTCATCGTCCCACTGTCTTAATTGACTCCAGTGTTATCATCAGTCTTGATAGACTCATCGCTCTAAAATCGCTGTAAACCTGTGATGACAACGTGTGACTTGGCACAATCCTTTCCTCCTACTGTCTTGTGGGGATTAGTATTATAAATGTCTCACATTGTTCCTGTATTTGTCTGTGGTGATACGTCTTATTAGGCTGCCTCAGTGAGGATGGGTTGACAGGACAGGGGTAGAGATTGGGTTTGGGGTGCCACAGTTGAAGAAGTTTAGATTTCTTTAAAAGAAAGCATCACCTTTAGTTTTTAAGAGTGCATAAGCTCTGAGGCACACTCGTACGATTTGGTGAGTATACTTCTGTTTCTGTGACAATGAAGATTAATGATGATTCAGTTCCCGACTCCTCCTGCAGCTTAACCCATGCAAACAAATTCATCTGTTGATAACACAGTGTGCTACTGTGTCACTTCTGGTAGCTCTGCACTGTTTGGTGTAGACAACATTAGCAAAAACATGCTAAATATGTCCAGTGCAAACGGAGTGAAAACATTTGGGCAGCACGATGGCTCAGTGGTTGGCTCAGTGGTTAGCACTGTTGCTTCACAGCAAGAAGGTCCTGGGTTCAATCCCCGGTTGGACCTGGGGTCTTTCTGTGTGGACTTTGCATGTTCTTCTCGTGCTTGCGTGGGTTTTCTCTGAGTACACTGGTTTCCTCCTACAGATCAAAAACATGCATGTTAGTCTGCCTTCAGGTCCAGGCCTCCCTTGCAAAAAAGATCTTTGATCTCAATGGGATTTACCTGGTTAAATAAAAATAATAAATAAATAAATTTATGCCTCTGTGGCACTCTGGAGCTCAGGCTTACTCCACATTAATCATAGTTTAAATGGGTCATGGAAAGTTAAACTTTAAGTGGCTGAACTGGGATTTTAATATCTTTGTTTTTACACACTCATAGCTTAAGTTTTATGGTTGTTGAAGATTTTATAATATGGTGTTCAACTATGGGTGATGTCTTACACTAACTTTTGAGTGGTCTAAATTTTCCTAAACTTTTGCTAACAAAGTTTCTCAAACTCTGCACGTTTAAAAATATTTATGCATTAATGTCAAGTCTAAAGGACGTTGTTTGTAGGTAAATCCATAGCATTACAGTTGCGTTTTGACTGTTTGTCTTCACAATGATTCATATTTCTATCAGGCTATATGTTTTCTTACTGAAATAAGTGATTATTTGTATTTAACTTTTTTTATAGCATCATATAATTTCATGTGTCAAGAGAAGGAGGACCTTTGTTCCTGGTTTATATTTCCTCTAGGAAGACTTTCTTAGTTACACGCCTGCACTCACAACATACAAACACCAGCTTTTGAAACTTATTAGAGTTTAAAGTTGTTTTCAACCAGTTTGACAAGACTGTCAACAAGGAAGAGGGTCAGCAATGGAGGAGGGGGCGTACCAAAGAGACCATCTTATCACAAGCTGAACTGGTTTGTTCCACTTTGGCGTGAGCTGTTGGGGGAAGAATCAGTTTTGTTGTGTTTCCTTGACTGATGAAGCCTTCTGGATCGAAGGCGAAACATTTCAGCACAAAAAAAAAGAAACTGTCCAGATGACCAGATGGAAAAATGTTGGATTGTACACCTGGATTATTGAGCATGGACTTTGTTGCTATTAGAGTTTAGGATTCATTGGCTAAGAGCTGGTCACATGATTGAGTGTAGGAGCTTTCCATGAGCTGGGATGACATTTCCCGAGGTGTGGCCAAGTTCTGAAGAAAACTGTTGATCAGTGAATCGATAAGAGCCATTTTGTGAAATGCCGCCTTATGCATGTGTGTCCCAGAATGGACCGGCGCTGTTGAATTTATACCTTACATGTGTGTGAAATAAACCAGAGATGGAAACTGATCGCTTCTCTCTGGATCCTGCTTCAGACCTTTGAACATATTTTGCTTTTTACGTCCAGGTCTCAGAGTGGAAGTTTTTTGGAAGCCCCACATTATTTTAGTGGAAATCGCAATGAACATGAAGTCAATGAACATGAAGTCAATGAACATGAAGTCAATGAACATGAAGTCACGCACTACAGTTGGCTGCAGGCAGAAGTTTTTGTTGCACATGCATGAGTAGATGTACAACGGTAAAGATGGCGAATAGCAGAGTGCTGTTTGTGCTGCTCACCTTTATCAACACGGTAAAGCAAACAAACCTCATCCTCGGCTCAAAAGAACAGCCGTGTTCAACATTCTGGACGTGACTGTTTGCATATTTGAGATCGAGGGGTGTGTGTGTGCACACGCGCATCGCTGAAATACAAATATCACAGCGCCAGCTGGCATGAAAACTGCAGTGGATTCAAACTGTAAACGCGTGACGATTTTCACCAGCATCAGAAAATTTCTAACCTTTCCAGAGATTGTTCACGTCTAAACACGACCTTATAGGTATTGTAGGCATTTTTTTTTTTTTTTTTTGTCACCTGTATTTCTGTCTGCCAGCCTTTAGAGAGCTGTCAAAGAGAGAGAGACGCACGCGTGTGGTTACCATGGTGACACCATTGAGCCACAAGCATCAGGTTAATATTCTTTTTGTAGTTCATGCATCAAACTGTTGCCATTTTGTCATTCTAGATTATTACAAAAGGATTAATACAAACTGATTAAGGACAAAAGGTTGATGAGAGGCTCACAGTATCTGCAATTGCACCTTTCAAAATACAAAATAGAAATTTTCTAGTTAATCTTTACTCCTCATTTTTACGATATACAGTACAGTAGTACATTATATTTCCATGCACGGACTGTGTGCAACCTTTCAGCTGCAGCATGTTGATGAATGCACTGACAGAGTGGAAAAAAGTGCCGTTAGCTCCAAAAAGATGAACGAAAAGTGAGAAGGATGAATGGTGGTGGATTTTTGTTTCCTTACTCTGGAAGAAGCACGGTCAAGGCAGTCTGTCAGGTTCAATGATGTGTAATGATCCTCAGCTTTTATTGAAACAGACAACAGAGAGCGTAAACTACCCAACCAAAGAGCTCACACGTGTGCAGCTGAGCCAAACTTTAACGATTCATGCCTGAATGTTGGGTTTGTGGCTAAATGTTCTGATGTAGAACTAAAGTTAAAGTATTTTTAAAACCTAAAATTAAGATGTAGACCCATCTGATTTTTACCTATGACTATGAGTAAGAGATTATTTTCTATTAGTTTTTACAAAGTATTTTTTTAAGTTGTAAATTTGTCAGAACCATGTTTGAGGGAAAACGGTTGAACAAAG